TACGAGAGAGAGAGAGAGAGAGAGAGAGAGAGGGGAGAATGATGGATGACGCGCACGGGAAATTGTCGCGATACTTGGAAATCGATATAGGTATCTGGAAACGAGCGACAAACACGCGTGTCGATCGGTCGACGGCTGTCTCTCTTTCTCTCTCCGCTCCTCCGGCGACTCTTAAATGGAAACGAGTCCGATGTTGCGAGGAACGCGTGATCTCGAGCAACAGGTTGGCGCCGTGTGTCGACCCACGCTCGCTCGCTCGCTCGCTCGCCGATTTCCAATCACTCGTTTCCCGTTCCAGCCCGCGGCAGTCGCGAGATTCGATCGACGAATTCGGATTTCACGACCCTTCTCTCCTCGTGTCCGTCGATTCCGAAGAAAAATCGGGAAAAACACGAAACTTTCACTCCGCGGTTCTTCCTCCACCCTCCTCCACTCCCCTTTTCTTCGTCCTTCCTTCCTGGCGACGAACACTCGCGAGACGACACAATCTCACCACAATCACGTCACGAACGAAGGACAGATTGGATCGTCACCATCGCTTAACCGCGCGAGAGGAGACGAAGCGGTGGGAAAACGCGGTGTCAACGAGGCGAGTCGCGGCCGACATTTCAGCCTGCCGACCGAAGGTGTCCGCGATCAGCCGAGCGCGAGAGTGAGAGAGCAGTGGTTCGAGGTGGTGGCTGGTCGCGTGGAGGCACGCGCTGGACTGAGGAGGGCTAAGTGTGGATGCTGCAACTACAACGTGTAGGCGTAAGTCGCCTTAGACGAAGGGACCAGGAGGGAGAGAGATGGCCGGGCTCGGTGTGTGGGGGCACACGCCGCTCCAACACACGCGCGTGCACACGCTCTCCCGCCTCTCGGCCGAGTGTTGGTGCGGGGAGAGGAGGGAAATCTCCAACCCGAGATTCGCGTTACACGTGGGTGCTATTGACACACTTACATACGCCGGCGTTTTCACGCGAATCCTCCGTGAATCCGTCTTCTTCCAACTTCTTCGTCCGCCCTCGTACGGTAGCGTTGTTGTGCGTGAGAGAAAATCCGCTGGAAAATTCGTGGCGTTGTTCGAAAGAAGTGTCGGCAGGGTTGCGTGCGCCACCCGTTTCGAACGTGTGGGATTTGGACGGGGACGTGGGTGACGAGAAGGTGGACGAGAAAAAAAGAAGAAGGAAAGAAGGGAAAGGAATAGAAAGATCCTCGAGGATCTGTATCTAATCTGTCTAATCGACTTAACGAGCTCGTTGTTTCGTCGATTGATGGCACTGGTCGCGTCACCTACGAGAGGGAGAATCTTTTTTACAACGAGTCCCGTCCACGAGGAAGAGGATTAATTATGGAATGGACGAAGCGCGAGGGAAAGGTTCTCGCTTTCCCTTATTTACGATAATAGTTTTCCCTTCGCGCGGGGAAGACTGTGTGATCTACGAGTGTCGTCGGTTATTGCTACGTCATAATTTCCACCCGGATATTTGCTTCGCAACGTTGCACGTTGTGTGTACCCAATTGCATCCGAGCGTGGCCAACAACCAACCAGATACGGTCTCGAGTTTCGAGAACGAATCCTTCGGAAAATGGACGCCATCGGATTCCTCGAACCAACTTTCCACTTTCGAAACGTAGATAAATCGATAAATGTAGGAAGCGTCGGTGAAATTCGCGTTTCGGACGGGCATTCGAATAGATCGGCGTGGACCAGTTATCGTCCAGATGATAATGAAACGGAGATCCGTATCTCCTGGCCGGCGTATCTCGCCCACGTTGGGCGACACGAAGGAGGAATGCGGTCCCCGGCATTGTTGCAGAAATATGCGCGGACGGTGATAGAGGCGAGGTGACTTTAACGAACGCGCTCGATTAAACGAGATTTCTCGAACGCGATCGTTTTCGAGAGGAAATAACAGCTTCTACGGGGGGCTGCTCGAATCCCCCTTCTGCCCACGCTCGTATCGTCGTTTTCAGACACGCGTAATACCCTGCCGAGCGTTAACGCCGCGATTCTCCCCCGCCCGCCTCGTGTATCCGTTACGGTTATGGATTTATACAGTTAGCGGCGGCTCGTCTTCGCCATTTTTCTCGCATTGGTATAACATCGAGGAAGTGGAGCGAGATATTATATATCTGTGTCTTTGACGCGTGTCCAAAAGTATAAATAAATATGTAAATATGGAAATGGTAGGGGAGAGTAAGGATCGAAGGGTATTTTTCGGCTCGATCTCGTTAAACGATCCGCTTCTTCCGAGGGCGAGGCTCGCCCGTTTATAGACAGACAGGCGCGTAGAAGAAGACGAGGGCCCGGACAAATCGTCGGCCGATGGGAGTAAAATATGGCGATGGAAAGACGAGACAAGCTACCGATCCCTTCCCCCTCGCCTCTTCCCGGCTAACGAATGGATCGATTTGCGTGGCTCGTTAACAATACACGGTAAGGAACGCTAATGTGCCACTTTGTTTCGTGCGGCGAGGCATCGTCCGTTCGGAGGACGATAATAAAAATAGAGAAACCAGATCTCTTCTCTCTTCCTCCGACCGTCCATCTTCCTCTCGTGATTTTATCCTCGTTTTCATCGAGGCGCCAACTCTACGCGTACGGTTGATTAAACTAATCTCCAACCCTCGTTCGTCGCAACACCGATCGAAAGTTATCGGATTTGCCACGCGTTTATTCCGAAGCATCCCGCCAAATATATTCGAGGGAATAAATACGTACGTAGACGTGGCAAGACCCGATCACGGGATGAGTTACGACGAGCGTCGCCTCCAACCACCCCTTCGACCACCCCTCCTCCCAACGGGAAACTTATAAATGCTCGCTGTTAGCCCTTTGTAACGCTTGTCAACGCTGTCTCACCGATCTTGAGTAATACTCGCGGCCGAAAAGAAATCGAATTTCCAGAACCGGACGGGGTGAAATTTTTAAATAACCGCTCGACCTGAGGAATTCCTCTCGCGCCGATACGAGGACAGAATCGTCGAAACATGATTCTGATTCTGTTTGCGAGAAGGATGCGCACTTGGCGCGAGTCTCGAGCCGCTCTCTCATCGCCGTCTCGTTCCAAACTGCCATCTATTTCTTCCCCCGTCGTTTTCGTTTTCACCCGTCGAGTCGAGCCTCCTTTTTCTTCTCGAATTAGAAACGTTTCCGATTTTAATCGGAATCATCGTCGCTGTAAACGATCTCCTTCCGTTGAAATTTCGACGGGTAATTCGCTTATTATTCGGGAATTCGCGTGGATAGCAGACGTGGCAAGCGAAGCGTGAGGAGAAGAAGGATGGAATAATTAGGAGGATGGAACGAAGATAGAAGAAGAGGGAGGAAATCTTTGTTCCAAATTCTTCTGTCCCGCGCGACCAACCGCACCGTGTTACGTACGCGACACGGCGAGCAGTCGTGGCAAGCCGCAAAGGGAAGATTTATGCGTGTCTCGGAGAGCGTTTTTTTAAGCTGGATTAATGTACGTAATGTTGGTGAGGAACGGTTTCCTGCTTAAACGTCTATTCGGCCAGCACCGGTCGAAACGGTTTATCGCGAAACGCAATGATTCGTGTCCGGCCTTCGTAATAGCTTAAATCAAGATTCTCCCCGTCGCGTCGGGGACTTCCTCCGACGGTTTCTCTACCGTTATCGAGCGGATAACGAGTGGCTCGTGCTCCTTCGTTTCCCCCGAATTAAAAAACGCTGTGGAATAGTCCGAAAACGGAAGGAAACTCGATCGAGTTGTACAACAGGGCCAGCGAATAACGAATCTCGTGAAGAGAGGATCTTTAACGAGTCGTAAATCTCGATCCTTCGCCACGTTAATGCGCGACTATCCGCGTCGCGTTATCGAAAACGACGAATCCCTCCCCCCTCGTTTTACGACGTTCCCTCGCATAAACAGGGAGGGAGGAAGGGACGGATCCGAAAACGATCAGCCAAACTCGCCTGTGTTTTAGAACTCGAGCCAATTACAGATTTCCAGGATTCGTATTTCCCCAGCTTCCCCAGTTTAACACTCGTATTTATATTTAAAAAGGTCGAAACTTCTTCTACATTCGATCGAAATGAAACGAGTTAACTTGCCATTTGAAGAATACATAAATTATTGTAATTAGGCTATTGAAGGCTAGCCGAACCGTTGAAAATAAAAGCCAGAGTTTGACAAGCCTCGTCCTTAACGATAACTATAATAAAGAAGATACTTTTCTATATAAATAAATGAAGAGGAAAAATCTTTTATTATCTTTTACATACCTATTTTATTTTATACATACACGTTTAGGCAGACTAAACCGAAAGAAAACGTTGTGACAAGAGTGGAGTGGAGCCGACGTAAATATACGTATAAGAGTGG